CATACAACTGAGCCCCAAAAGCTTTCAAATGAAATCACTTTTAGTTTGAGTCCTGAGCTTACATAGATTTGTTAACAACCACCTCACAACAAATAAATGTTTCAAAATTGTGTGCTTTTTCCAGATCTCTTTTCTCTGTAGTATGAGGTGATATCTAATATTAGACAGAAAAGCTTGTTACGGTGTATGTTAACTGGTTTCTACTACCATTTAAAGGTTTCATGTCACAGAAAGTGCTTCCTCAGGCCAGCTGCCCAGCTGCCCTACATGTCTCATTGTACCTTTCCATCTGCCCAGTGAAGATGATCAAGTCATTCTTAATAGATGCAGTTTTCCAGTTAACTTTCTTGTAGTATCAAGGCTGGGATTCAAGTCTAAGCTCCATTAGCTGTGTTCTTTTTAGGCTTCTCTGCCCCTGTGAGAACAGCTCACCCAAGTGTTAGATCACCTGCACTGCTGTTGTTTCCCCACCATGTTGGCCAAAGTCAAAAAAGTATTTGATATATTTTGCTTTGCCACTTGACTGCCTAAATTAATCAAGAAGAGGCGATTTAAATGAACAGTGAAGGTAAAACAGGTAAAGCACAAAGAAAAATGGACATGTGTTAACTTCGAAAACCTAGAGTTGGCTTAATATAGAGAAGTCATTAGTTTCATCTCATAAAATTAGTAGTTTAAAATTTTGGTAAAGCTCCTGTTCTTCTCAGCCACAGTAAGATATTTTGAAAATAAAGGTTGTATTAGAATCCTCAACAGATTTGTTTAAAATTTTTCTTGTATACCACCAAATCTTTTATATCACAATTAGTCCCAATCACCCCAAATACTGAGATGAAAGCACAATAACCAATATTTTTATTGAAGTTAAATATTCATAAATAAATGGCAAAACAGTGAAAACTGAATAAATTTTTAAGCCACAGAAGGAAAAGTTGACAGCATAGAAAAAAAATGCCTTCACATGGAAATATTTTAATTTTATAAAAGTTTTCAAGTAGAAATATTGAAGCCCTTCATTCATAAAAATCTAACCAATATTCTTTAATTTTTGATCAGAAAAAATTCTTTTTCTAACTCTGCCCTACTCTTTCTTGAGTATGAAATAGAGCAAACTACTTCTAACTTAACACTTACAATAAAATACTCAGATGAAGACTGAGATGTATGTTTTAGAATGTTTTGTTTAAATAAGCATCTAAACACACTGGAGTCTTCCCCTTTTCCTATAGGCACACCTCATGCACACCAAGGCAACTCAGACTAGGCCTGTTTGAGCTCACAAGGGCTGAACATGGTGAAAACAGTATGCTACCATTTCAGTTAGGACACTGAAAATCTAAGTGGCTGTGTATTAATGACAATGAGTTAGTTGAAAAATGTATATATTTCTGCCTAGGCATAATTGTACAGTTAGAATCAGTACTATCTAGATTAGCATGTTTGTATCCTATTTAAAAAGATAAAAGAGGGCCAAGGATGTAGCTCAGTGGCGCCGTGCCAGCCTGGCAAGAGCAGGGTCCCAAGTTTTATCCTCAGTACCGGAAAAAACAACAAAAAAGAAAAGAAGGCATCTACTGTTAAGTCCCCTGCCTGGAGCATACATGTGTATATGCACAGACAGATGGTCCTCGTGGTTTCCAAATTGAAACACATTTAGCAGAAACAGTACATTGAATTTTGATGTTTTCCTGGGCTGGCAGTAAGTATGCAACCAGGTAACCAAGAGGAAACAACCGATGCTCCACAGTGTTGTGTTTTGTAGGTTAAGTGTATTAAATGATTATTAATATATAACATTGATTTTATCGTGGGTTCCTCAGCATATAACTCCATCATTCACTGAGGAACATCTGTGTATGTGTCAGTACATATACAGATAGATAAGATATGATCTCCATACACACACACATAACAAAGCAGGGTGCAAAGGAGTTATGGCGAAAAATTATACTGTAGAGTTTCTTTAAGAAGTACTTTTAAAAAAACATTAGATTTAGCTGGTGCATGCCTATGATCCCAGCACTTGGGAAGCTGAAGCAGGAAGACTGCCATGGTTTGAGGCCAGCCTGGGCTACAGAGTAAGTTCAAGACTAGCCTGAACTACACAATGAGACCCTGTCTCCAAAAAATGATTAGATTTATAAAAAAAATAATGCCCATCATGCTTCTCAAGGTCATCTATTACATAAACTGATGTAAACCACGGTAAGCCTCTCTTTCAGGAAATACAGGTTTTTAAGATGCTCAAATTTGATTCCATCCAAGTCAGTAAGCAGACCTGTTACCTGGCGCACTAGTAATGTCTGAGCATTTTGTTGCTGGGATTTGAGGGGTTTCAAAAGTATTGCATGCATTTTGGTTGGCTATATATTTAGAGTATTAGATAATACTTGTCAACCCTCAAGCTTTCATAAGCACTCAACATTATCAAGACTAAACTTACTGAATCCTAAAAGCATTCCCAAAAGGTGCACTAAAAAGACCCAACATTTTACACTCACAAAAAGCATACAGGCTCACACCAAAAAAGTTGTTTCCTTTTAGGATTTAAGCTGAGTTACTAAAGGACAGACATAATAGATAAAAGCCTTCCCCACCACATACCCTTCCCTCCCCAATCCCCACACAAGGGCACACCCCCACCCCCTAACACACAAAAACACACCCACCCACTCTACGGCACATTCTGAGTTAGCTACCCTTTCTTCATATACACACAGAGGACAGGCTTATTTTCTCAAAATACACACTTGGAGGTAAGTACCTCCATTCTCTTCTACAGGATCAAACAACACGGAATAGATAATCTTAGACTATCTGAAAACTACAAAATGAGCTATTCCCAGGGCTTGAAGACCCAACTCTTCACTTCTGGTTTCCACTCTGGATGGGACACATTTGGGAACCCACTATCAGCTACTGGGTGCTAACATGAGTCAGTGTTTACAGAGTGGAGTTTCCTTGGCCCAGCCTGCAAATGTCATTTATTCACAAGGCAGAGAGCAGTCACTATCATACTTGGCAGGATTTGATGCAGGCAAAGGGCTTCTCTTTGTGAGGCCCTTCCCATATTGCCATAAAATAAGACTAGACCAGGCTCTCTATCAGCATGGATTATGCCCATTTTGAAGGGCAATATGGATCTGAATTTGAATCAGGGCTGAACGGCATAGTGAGGCATGCACTAGCAGCTATTAAAGGCCAGAAGGAACAAGCTGGGCTTCTACTTAATTCCTTAAAAGAGAAAGACCATAAGACAAAAGGTCAGGAAAATTTCTACTATGAATTCTAAGACATTCAGACATATTTACATCATTGAAGTGCTTTTTGAAATACACACTTACATTCTCAGATGCATCCTAAAACAAAAATACATTTACCCACCTTCAGAAAGACTTAAGTGCTTTTTATGTACATAGTAGAATTCTATTCAAAACAGGTTAAAAATTAAAGAACAGAAAAGTAAAATATAAAATGTAAGCTATAGACAAAAACTTTTTTTTTTTTTTGGTACCTTAGCTACTAGGACTTGAACGTCTGCTGTGCAAAAGGCATTTGTTGAAGGCTGGTGCTAAAGAATATTCAATGAAATGTTTTATATTCTAGTTAAATGAAATGATGTGGGCCCTTTTATACAAGATTCTAGTATAAGCTAAAGTTCTGGAACTACATGCTCTTTCAGAAGGCAGTCTGTAGCAGAATGCAGATGTATCTGATCTTGTGCATGATGTTTGTAAAAAGAATAACCAGATGCTAATCCAATTTCATTCTAGCTTGAGATAAAGAATTGATTAGAAAGGAAGGGTTTGAATCAAATTAGTAGAGTCCCTGGAAAATCTAATTACTACACTAACAATTCTATTAGGATCTGACCATTTTCCTTCCAGCAGGATCTTCTTTATGAAAACTGAAAGAAAAAGTACAAAAAGCGTTAAAGACAATCAATTAGGGCAGAAGGCAGCAGGAACTCTTAGCGGAGGGAGCTTCAAACAGATTGGCTAATACCTGTGTTTTGACTTACTGTGAGATGATAGATGCTAGGAAACTACAAGAATAGGACGGCTAATGACAAATTGGCTTCGAGGCCCTCCCACAACCTCTGAACACTCCACATTTTCATGTCAACTATAAACAGTTGAGAAATATTTTAATCAGAGGCTAAACACTGAGTTTGAGACTCATTAACTGATAATTATGAACTTTTAAGGATGGCATGAATCTATATCTGGGCATTAGCTTTCTTAAAATTCACGGTCGTTAAGGCTACTCCACTATTAGCAACAACAAAACATAGGGATTCCTTCTGGCTACAGTTCTGATAATTTGAGCATCAAAAAGATTATGAAGGGGTTTAAGACTATAAATTTGAATGGGACTAAAATGATAATCACAAGAAATTAGCAAAAAAAAAAAAAACCAAAAAACAAAACCACCCTAATTTGTCACAAACCAACTTACTTTGAATTTGATAATTAAATGGAAATAAAACATTCAACCTACTGTTCCAGTAAGAACTCTATTTTTACATTTTCAAGTTTAATGGCTAATGGTGAAAGTGAATTTAATGCCAGAAAAACAGTTGTATGGATAACTGTTCCCACAAAGGGGAAAACCAACTGGAAGTTCAGATAATTGTACTAATCCAGTGATCTATCTTAATACTGTTAATGGTAGGTGCATTAGATATTATGTATTTTTGGTGTGATGCAGTAGGAATCATGATACGATATCTCCTAATAAAATGTTCAACTTAAATCCATGAGCCTTCGGATATAACTTCCAGATTGCAGGTAGTGTAGAGAATAGAGGAACAAGCTAAATACCACCATAAGAAAGCAACTAGACAAATTCACAAGATGGGATTCTATGAAACAACAGTCCCTCCCAATCTTTAATAAGTGTCAGTAGTGTGTAGTGGTACACACCTGCAGTCCCAGCACTCTGGGAGGCTGATGAGAAGGATCACAAGTTCAAGCCCAGCCTAGGCAATTTAGTAACTCAGTAAGAAAAGAGGGCTGGGGAAGTAGCTCAGAGTGAAGGCCTAGGGTTCAATCCCCAGTACAGGGGGAAAATAAAGTCAGGAACTGTGTTAGATTAAAATAGACTTATGGACTTAAAGGGACATGACCAGTAGATACAATGGAAGGTCTCAGAATGAATACTGATTTGGACAAACCAACTGCAAGTTTAGGGACAATTGGATAAATGTGAATATAGTCTGAGATAAAAATGTCCTGGACAAGAAAGTTGAGACTGGTGACAAAAAATTGGTTCCAAATATTATACAGATATAGTTGTTTAAAATATAAAGATATATGATGCATAGGAAAAAACATCTGGAAGGATATGCATAAAGATGTGAACAGGCAGGGGCCCGTGATTTAGTTCAGTGGCACCATGCCTGCCTGGCAAGCGCAAGGCCCTAGGTTCGATCCCTGGTATGGGGGTTGGGGGTGGGTTGATGATGGATTAAGATGTTAACAGGGCCAGCTTTAAGTGGTTGAGCATATGTTACTATTCTTTGCCTGCCTGTTTTTTCCAGTGTGTTCACAATGCACCTATATGTCTTTTATAATAATAAAAGGTTATTGTAAAACAAGAACGTCTAGAAAATTGTGGATTTCCCTCCTCTGGCAGGTGATTGGTTATAAACACCTGTAGCCAAACAAATACAACACCCAGGAACCATCTGCTGATAGAATATCCTATTTGTAGGTAAAGTACTTCAGAGAAGTACGATTTTAAGTGCTTGGCCTGCAAAGACAATACTAAAAAGTAACAAATGTCACTGCACAGTAAGTGCAGGGAAGAGGCCAATTTATCTTTGAATTATTCAATTTTAGAAAACACAAGTAAGATACATCTTGCTATGTGTCATTCACCCTCCAAATCAAGCCTTGACTACTAGTATTTACCCTTAGGGGAAACCCTAGGGTCTAGTATTTAAAATGTGTAAATGAGGAATTTCCCCAATAATAACCCCATCCCACCCAAGCTGAGGTCCCCCTCATTCTTCCGGTGTGGCAGGAGTGGCATTGGGCTCCAGATCCTCCGGTGGAGGGGCAGCTGAGGCTTCCTGATCAGCCAGTGCCTCTCGAACTTGGCTGCCTAAGACTGCGTCGTGGATGCTGTAGAACAGCAGCTCCTTCAAGGCAGGATTTTCAAAAAATCGATTTCGAGTGAGGTCGTTCACAACTTGTGCTATAAGAAATAAAAGAAAATTATTCTGCACTAGAGGTTTTGGTCTTGAACTTTTTTTTTAAAGTATCACTTTTATATAGTTTATTAAAATCCTGTAGTAAAGCCTCACTCCAGTGCCTGTCTGTGTCTCCCCAATGCCCAGTCCCAGGGAGCTACTTTCACAGCTTTCTTGGGTACCCTTCCAGGATTTCTCTATGTAAATGTTAGTAAATATAAACATTTCCCTCATGTTCTTACTTACCCTGAAGATAGCACATATACTATTATTGCATATAAATTGTTCTCTCTATATATTTTTAACCATTACGTGGTGTTCCATTGCATAGACATACCCTAATTTATTTAACTGGTGCCTTTTGCTTGACACTTTTTTCCAGTTTTTTTGTTTTATAGACAATGTTATGATGACCATCTACATACATGTGTTGTTGTTTTGTCTCTCTCTCTCTCTCTCTTTTTTTTTTTTGGTACTGGGGATTGAACTTGGGACCTTGTGTTTGCAAGGCAGGCGGCAGAACCACTGAGCTACATCTCCAGCTCATGTGTTGTTGTTTTGAGTGTGTGCAGCATGTTGAGGTTTTGCCATGTTAAAAGTAGTCAATGCCCTCGCAAGCGCAAGGTCCTGAGTTTGATCCCCAGTACCAAAAAAAAAAAAAAAAAAAAAAAAAAAAAAAAAAAAAGGTCAATGCACTGGGAATTTTGCCAGATAATGCTGGTCTGCCCTCTGCAGGTGTTCTGTCTGCGAGCAGCTGCTCTTCCATGCCGTCAAGCCTGACAGGTGAAAAGTGATGCCTTTACGTAGATTTTATTTTCAGGCACTGTCTTAGCTAAAATATAATAAAGCAAAAAGAGCAGGCAAGGTATTCCAAAACCACTGGCTGAAAATGCAATCCATGGGAATAACCTTACAGAGCGCCAGTATGTTGTGGTGGCCACTGCAGGATCAGCAAGGATTTATCAGCTCCTTCGCTTTCCTCCACCTCTGGGTCGGAAGGTCAGGACAGGAGCAACCCAGGGGCAGGAGTGCTCTAAGCAGATCATTTCAAAGCTAGCTTTACGGTGATTTCCAAAAGAATAATTGTCATTTTGATTAAAACATCAAAATTATGCAAAAATTTCCAAATACAATTATTAAGAACAGACAAAACTAACTTAAAACTTTTCCCCATCCTAAAGGTGTACTCACCACTGCATCCTGCTAAATACACATAAATACCAACGTCTCCGTATTCCTTTACAATCTGCAATAACGTGGAAAGACAGTTAAGTTTTCCGATGTTGCCAGAAACAAGTTGTTCTCTCCCAATATGTATTTAAGGGATGTGAGACCCTCTAACTGATTCATTGAGCTACTTAGTTTCAATAATTAAACATTTCTGTGGTAATCAATTGAAAATAACTTTATGTCTTTTATTTTTTGGTTTAAAAGTAATGGTGATTAACTAGGGGTATAAAAATATTATGAAATTCTGCTTAAGTGTAACAGAGGAATAATAGTAATAATTTTTTTTAAAGAAGAATCTTTTTAAACAGATGTTCACTGAAATATTTATAGAGGATGTGACCACAGGGGTGTGCTTCAATAAGGAAAATAAGAAAATGCCTGTTGGTATAAACGAAATCAGATTGGCCACAAACTGGTAATTGTTGGAGCTGGATGATAGTTACGCGGGGGATTCACTATGCTAGGCTCTTTACTTTTGTACACTTAAAATATTTCCATAATCAGAAGTCGAAAAACAACAAAAAAGAACTTTACAAGTTGAAAAGGGACCCTAGTCCAACTCGCTTCGGTGACAGACGGGACACGGGGCACCAACACTGAGCCACTTGGTCACGGTGATGCTTACCCCTGCCAGAGTTTTCACGCCAACAGAGTCGATGAAATTGACCTGTGTGAAATCCAGAATGATGGTGTGGATGTTATCCCCCGGGGGCATGAATCTCTGCAGTTCTTTGGGAAATGTATTTTTAATGACGATTGGGGGGTATTTCACTTCACCGTCCTCCTCTTCAGGCTTGGTACCATCTTCTCCATCTACTTCTGCATCCTGTATCAAAAATGAAACCAAACCAGAATTCTGTAAAGTCACACTTTCAGCGAGGGAAAGATTTTCGTAAAAAATCAGCCCTTAGATTCTCAAGCTACTGACTATAGCAGATCTCCTTAAAATATTTGTCACATTCCAGCCCCATAATGTGACAGAAAGGATAGGTCTATAATATTTAGGTTTGACTCAGTTTCTTCTTTGTCATCCTCTCCATTTCCCCCAACTTCTAAAGTAGTTCCGTCAACTTCAGCGTGACAAGCCACAAGTTGTAAGTCTGAGCGTCAAAAATCAGCCTTCGGACTTTTTTACTGTCAGCTGAATAAATCCATGAGGAAGCAGCAATGGTAAAAATTTTCAAGCCCGCACGTGATTTTTGTTTTTAAAACAGTGTTTTCAATACTAATTCCAGAAGCATCCACCTGACTGACAGTACCGCATACTCGAAATGTAGCAACATTTCCTAGGTGTCCCTAAGCTTTCCCACTTTGGGAACTTGCAGCTGCGCTCAGTTACTGCAGGTCACGAGAGGGGAAATGACAAGGAAAAGTCCACTCACCGCCTTGAGCACGGTGGCGTTGGCCACGTTTGCGTTCCCCACCTCCTTAGTATACTTCCTCAGGGCCTTTCTCCTTGCTCCCATGATGAGCGCTGGGTTCACTCCGGTCTTCAGAGAAGAGCAAGACACAGAAATCCCTCCATGGCTCCCAGGGACCCACCCGAATGCCATTCATCTTCAAATTCCCCCACGAGCTTCCCGCGGCAGATTATCACCCCGCCCCTCCTTCTACCTTTCCGTCAGGTGTCCAGAACTGAGTTACATCCTAAGACCTGAGAGGACGCGGGTAGATTTTCTCATTCTGTCTTTCCTCAAGACAAGCGGAAGCAGGGCCGGGGATTTAACTCAGCGGTTTGGTGGCCTGCCTTGCAAGCGCAAGGACCCGAGTTCAATCCCCAGTACCAAGAAAAAGACAACCGGAAGCAGAAGTAGCAAAGACAGTGATATTTACTAAATTTAAGATTTCTCCGATTCTTATATCTGAAAGAGACTTTGTGGGCTGATGGGCAGCATGGGGCTGATCATCATCAAGGAAACCATGATTCCCAAAGTAAAAATATCTAAGATTATTTTTTCACTTTCTTTTAATTTTATTTGAAGAGGGAACAAATACGTATAAAGAGAGAATGAGTAGTGGCAAAGGTTGCCCAAGAATGTGAATGTCCTTAATGTTACCCACTGGATTGGATGTTTGAAAATTCGTAAATGGTATATTTCATCATAGATGTGTTTTTGTGTGTGGGTGAAATAGTATAGTGAGGTTCACGGACACATTTACTCCCATCCCTGCAAGTCCTCTCCTCAAATATATCTGATCTTGGGCCGGGGATTTAGCTCAGTGGTTCTGCCACCTGCCTCGCAAGCACAAGGTCCTGAGTTCTATCCCCGGCACCAAATAAATAAAAAGTATCTGCTCTTAATTTCTTCCTACTTACCTTTCTTTTTAATGCGTTGCTATACAAGTCACTGTTAGCATAGTAAATTGGGGCATTTATTTGGAATATTTTTATTCCAGGGATTTCTTTCACCTGAGAAGTAAAATATTAGTGAATTTAACACCTGGGTATATTTCAGGATCAAAACTGCACTTGCCTCCCTCCTCCAATGTGGAAATGAATACAGTAGTGGCAAAGGATCCTCTTACTATGTCTGGATAAAAGGTGTCTACCTATCCAGGCTCTGGGAGCTATACTGAGGAAAAAAGTGGTTGTTTGCGTGATTTGTTTTTTGGGGATTTTTTTTTTTTTTGGAGACAGGGTATCACTATGTTGCTCCGGCTAGTCTTACAGATCCTGGGCTCAACCAGTGCTCCTGCCTCAGTCTCCCAGGTAGCTGGGCTACCACACTCAGCTTGAAAGCTTTTAAAAAGGCCCACCCTCCCATTCCTTTTACAGGATAGTCTCTGCTTCATTTTTATCATTAAAACAAAGAAGAGGGATGAAAACACATTTAAAAAGAGAAAAGAGCAGGCTCGGAAGAGGGAAGGCTGTTGCCAGGCGGTGAGAAGCAGACAAATAAAGCGGACAGAGGTTTGTGGGTTTGACCACAGGCTGCAGGAAGGAGCTCACATGACACAGTTAAATAGTATTTTGTGTCTAATCCTGAACCTCACGGAACTCTGGGACACAGTTTGCAGTCATTGCAAATAGTCACTAATTCACCACAGAGTTCTTCGGAGTGAGGAAAAATTAGTAATCTTAACCCTAGGCTTGCTTCCTGGGACCTCTTAGTGAGCCTGAGAATTTCTTCTCAAGCAAAAAGAAATGAGACGGACAAAATTAATTCTAAAATATTTTGTAAAAGTTTTTGAGATTCCACAGAAGAAAAGAACATTCAAAATGAAGGAAATCAAGACCAGGGATTTAGCTCAGTGCTACCCTGCCTGTCTTGTAAGTGCAAGGTCCTGAGTTCAATCCTGGGTACCAAATAAACCCCCAAAATAAAACAACAAACAAACAAACAAAACAAAATCAAGGAAATCTGCTTTTATAATTTTCAACCATTAAAAATGAAGTGGGGGGCCAGGGATGTAGCTCAGTGGCACTGTGCCTGCCTTGCAAGCACAAGGTTTTTTGTTTGATCCCCAGTACTGCAAAAAACAAAACAAAACAAAACAAAAAAACAGACGTGGGAAAGCTGGGCATGGCGGCACACAACATAATCTCAGCACTTGGAAAGCTGAGGCAGGAGGATCAAAAATTCAAGGTCAGCCCGGCTGCATACAAAAGATTTGTCTTTAAAAAAAAGGAGGGGAGGAGAATTATATAGCTCCACCATCTAGATTTTACATGGTTAAAATTAGTAATTTACCACTGGTTTAAAAATCAGAAAACAAAATCGATGCCATAGCAACCAATTTTTCATTTCACTGTTTTGCAAATGTATATTTTAATTCCAACAATAAGCGCTTATCCTTATTTAAAAGCAAGGAAAATGAAAAGTAGAACCTGAGTGATTAGCACACAGTATAAACTACACAGCTAAATCCAGATGGTAAGTTGAATTTTGGGGTTTTTACGTTAACCACTATGCCTCCCTCTGCTTCCTGGGAGAAAGTACTAAGCCACTCAGTCGCACAATCTTTTAACATCGCGGGAAGGGGTCCTACCTCTTCGAAGGCATCTATGTCGATATAGACGTCAGTGTCAGGAAGCTGTCCCAGGACTTTGTAGCTCGGGCTGCAGACAGAGAGTGAGCTAAAGTCCCTGCGCTGGGGTGCAGTGTGCAATCAATCACACGGCATGTGCGGGTGTGCTGTGAGATCCCTCTCGGGTGCCTTTGGAGAGAGGCCCCGGCATCACGTTCCCAGGGCTGCACCTTCCCTGCAGGAGTGACACTGTCGGTGCATAGGGAAAGTCGAGTCCCTCTGGGTGAAAGATCTGGGCCTCGGCGATGAGGATTGAGCAGGCAGAGGAGGACAGGGTCTTCCTGGCCACCTGTATGCCTTGCAGATCTGCACCCTCCTGCTCCCAACGGAGGCCACGCCGTGATCACTTCCCACCTGACACCATGAGCCAGGGAGTCTCTTTCTATGAGCTCCTACGGGTTTCATTTGGGGCCCTATTCTGCTTATTGTCACACTGTATCTGGCTATCCCTGCAGGAGCCTGTGAACTATATTTTCTAATCTCCGAAAGAAAGACGATGCAAGGCTTACAGAGATTGCTTCTGGACCCATAGAAACTTGTATTTAAGTCACTGCCCCACCACTCACTGTGATCTTGGGTAAGTTGTCCAGTGACTCTAGGACCCAGGTTCCACATCTGTAAAATGGCACTGCTAACAGTCTCTGGGTTGTAAGGAGGAAAGGACATAAGGCACTGATCTCTGCCTGGAGCTGAGCAGATAAATAGCTGTCAGCGTTTAGTGCTATCATTATCAACTAACATCATCCCTCTTAACTGTCTGTTGGTCATCCTTGGGAGAAGACAATCTTTTTGAAGACGAGGAGTACCACTTCTGGTTAGACTCATATTGGCCAGGGTTACGTAAGAATGACTTTATATACTCAACCATACATGTGCTACAAGGCCCTGCAAGGTCATTCAGGTGTTTTTTGCCTCACCATGTCGTAGTAAGCCGATAACAGACGCTGTAAGTGCTGTAAACTGCTGTAAAGCAGCACTGTGGCTGCTTTGCAGAAGGAATAAAGGCAAGCAGCTCTTGAGCTCTAGAGCCACCACCCCCATGCTGCCCTTACTCTGATAAATGGCCCGGCATCTTGTTCTTTAGTGGGGAATTAATTCACTCGTGGAACAAAGGACTCAGATGGACTAAATGAACCTCTCCCAGATGCCTTCTGGGGAGGCTCAGCCTGACAGTAGGGAAGGACCATGTCTTATTTACTGCAACATTGGAAGAGTGTAGTATCTATCTCACTGGGAAGACATGAGGCCCTCGACAAATATGCACTCATGGGGATTATAAATGTTTTACCAAATTTTGTAATATTGGCTAAATTATGAGCACTCTGGGGGCAGAAGCTAAAACCTCCTTCCAGTGCTGGCCTGGAAGAGGTGATGGGGAGCTATGTGCTGGACAGAGTGGTTGTCCATGGGGGTTCTGTGGGGAAAACAGTATTTGGAACAGGCCAAAGCTGGTGCACTGCTAGCTGTCTCCTGGAAGTTTGCCCTGACTGCAGCAAAGAGGCCAGCTGCAAAGAAACATGTGTCCTGACTGCTGGTCCCCCAAAGGCCACCCTACAAAACCCCAGCAAGATCTCCTGACAGGATCAACTGGCAGAACATGCAAACTCAACGTTAGTTCAATACTTGAGGGAGAAAGAGAAGTGCAGTATTTAAAAATCACACTTGCCCGATTTTGAATTTTAATTTATGATCAGAAATTATAAAATCCTATTGGTATAGAAAACAACACACAAATCTCCAATTCTATATTGTGGCTTGTTAGAGGAGATAGATATTTTTCTTTTTTGGTGCCAGGGATTGATCTACCACTGAGCTATGCCCTGTACCCCCTGGACAGTTTCAGACCATAATGTTCACCCAAACTCTGAGATTTTAAAAAAGGGCCCTGTATGAACTAATGATGTTCTTTATAATAACACAGGATTTGTTAAAAATAATTTCATTTCCATTCTGAGCTTAGACCACATCTTTTTAACATTTTTCTCTTGTGTTGTTTTAGAGATAAAAATGCTCATTTTCAACTCTGGTGAGCAGGAACATCCCAACCTTCTGCAGAAAAAAGGTCAGCAACCCCATCTGGTGGTCTGCACTTAAGAGAACCATTATATGATCTGCAACTATAGGCAAACAGCTTGATTTGTTTTCACAGCCCTTTGTGTTAAAGGGAAGAAAACTCTGGTTGCAGGAGTCAGGTGCTATGCTAGATCTCTGTGTGCCTTACTGTCAACCTCACTGTAACTATTTGAGGTAGCAAGTATCAGTTCCATTTTACAGAGGTAGAAACTGAGATTCTGAGAGGTTCCATAAAAATTACAGAGCTTACAGAAGACAGAGTCAGGACCCAAACTCAGGTTTGTCTGGCCCAAGTCCAGGTTATTTCTATGACACATTTCCTTTTATTTTCATGGTGGTTTCCTCATCCTAAAGATTATTACTATTATTATCTTTTATGTTTAATTTTTTTACTGAGCCAGGGTCTCACTCTGCAGGTCAGACTGGCCTGAAACTCAGTCACCTAGGTTGGCTTCGAACTCACCATGACCCTTCTGCCTCCATCTCTGAGGTACTGGGATTACTGGTGTGCACCACCATGTCTAGCCTCCAAATAGCCTTTTTAAAATTTTATTTTATACTTTGCCAATAGGCTTGGCTTCCTACTAGGAAGAAGACATCATGACGGGGAACAATGGCTCAGACTGGAGGAAGGGACGCCGGCAAGGCTGCACATGACCGCGTGGTGTTGGAACTTGCTTCATGTCACTGAAACCCACACTGGCCCCTGGTACCAAAGTGAATTGCAAGAACACCTTCCACTTGGGAGAGGGGCAAATGAACCAATGACTCACACTTGGGGCAGGAATGAGAGGAGCAGTGATGCAGCTTTGGGTTTTTAAACAAAATCACTGATGGAAACATGCACCGTGACACAGTAGAGTATCTAAGAAAATTACGCGCGATCTTGCATTTGGCATTTGGTTGATTTAGTCAACAGGTGACAGGAGCACTGTAGCTCCCTCTTACATGAACTTGAAATGACTGAAGGGCTTCACTTTCACCAAAGTGTTCATGCCAGTCTCCGCCAGGACACTCGCACCACTCTGATCTGGCACTCACCTCTGTGTTCTGTAAATCACAGTCAGCAGAGCAATGATCACGGCAGTAATCAGGCCATAGTCTAATCCCAGGAACAAGGAGGACACAAACGTGGTGAGCCAGATGGTCTAAATGAGGGTCAGAGAGCATTATGGAGAATCGTGTTAATAATCCCGGAAGATTTAATACGTGTGCGCGCACGCACACACACACACACACACACACACACAGGCTATGTTTACTTTGCCTACCTGGGTGCTACACAGAACAACTGTGTTAACATCTTCACCTTATTCTTATTAGCGCTAATCACAGTTGCTGCTGACACATATGAACCTGAGCATCACAGACTCACCAGCTCTATTTTGCTGGTTCTCCAGAAGAAGGGCAGATCTAAGAACTGCATGAACATTCCCTTCAGGTTGACAATCACGATGGCCGACAGCACAGCCTGCAACACAGCAACCCAACCATGGCTCCCCTCTCTCCTCCTGTGTCCCAAGAGCCCTCCTGCCTCCCCCAGGCCCTGCCCTCATCTCCCTACTCCTCACTGAAACCATGAATGCCTGGGTTTTCAGCACTCAGCTCAAATGGACTTTGAAAATCCAGGCTCATACCCTAGTAGCAAAACTACATGGTGGTCAAGAGGTTCAGAATTAAACTTAGAACACAAGGAATTATTTCACCATGGTCTTCCTACTTATGATCTGCTTTTTCCATCCTTTGATCTTTCCTAGACTAAATATATCAGCAAATAAACATCTTTGAGTTTAGGCATCTCAGGTTTTTTTTTTTTTTGGTTTTTTGAGACAGGGTCTCACTATGTAGTTGAGACTGCCCTGGAACTCACTATGTAGCCCTGGCTGGTCTCAAACTCACAGCGATCCTCCGGCCTCAGCCTCCCAAGTGCTGGGATTACAGGTATGCGCCATCACGCCCAGCTCGGGTTTTTAATGAAAGTATAAGGTCACAGAGGTCAAAGAGAGAAGTAACCTCGGTGGTCAGCCAGTGCAACCCCCTCTTTGCAGATAAGGAGACTGGGACCAAGAGGAGAGGAGGTGGCTTTCCCAAGGGCTTTGGGCAGCTGTCAGGTCATGGTGGGGCACAATATCAATCCCTAGCCTTGGCCTTTTCTTATACCAACCTCCTAGTACTCTAGTAAAACCCCAAGGATGGCTGCAAAAATATAAATAAATACCAGACTCTCCACACTTGGAAAGAACGCACACCATGTCCACACTACACACCTGGGGCAATGATTCAAAGAGGAATCCCGTGGCTAATATGACCAGCAAAATCATTAAAGAGGCCAAGCAACCGGCGAGCTGAATGAGAGAAGACAGGGAAGGGGCTTTTAGGGTGCTAGATAAAGACATGGGGCAGAGGTCAGTCTTATTCTTTCCATCACTACCATGGGAATATCAAGACAATACAGATTCAAATTAAGTCATCCAAACCACTGTATGAACCTCTAACTCTACTCCTTGAAATTTTGGTTCCTCTTACAGCTTTTAAACAGAAACTAAAATGCTTAAACATCCTGACTGAAAGGGCACAGCAGGGGTGGAGAGGGGCGCCTGGTACCAACTTGAGACTCACTGGGGAAAGAAGAGTCCAGACAACGATTTGCTGTCTAATATGGCAGCCATTGGGCACATGCAGCTATTTAAAATTAAAATAGAATGCAATAAATAATGTAGGTCTTGGTTGCCATAGCCACAGCAAATGCTCAAGAGCCATAAATTGCTAGTGGCCACCGTATTGAGCATTTCCATCATTGCAGACCACTCTGCTAGAGGGTGCTGGCATCCTGCCCACGTGGAGTCTCAGGCTCTCCTGACAACACCCCGTGTCTGATCGGTTTCCCTGGTAGCAAAGGGAATATCGTGTAACTTTCTGACTTAACTGGAGGATATACCTCTTTCCTATAGATTCTATAGTCACGTGAGAATCCTTCAATCCATGAAGCCTTTATCTGATTCACTACCCAGCTCACTGGATCTGCACACAGAGCAGCTTTGTTTGGGCTCAGAGTAGAACCAAGAGATTACCACGTAATGAGCACTCAAACCACCAGTTTGCAGATGCCTGTTGGTACTCACCTGCGTCTTCCCTCCAGTTCCCTCCTGAACAAGGCTTCGAGACAAGGAGCAAGAAATTGAAAAGGTCTGGAAGAGGGAGCCGATGGAATTGCACAGTCCCAGGGCGATGAGCTCCTTTTCCATAGAAAAACAAAACACAAAGGAGATAGTCATCCTCGGGGGTGGAGATGACAGCTTATTTACCATTAACTTTCAGCAGCACAGGCTGGCTCTGCATTTTCCTTTCAGATATAATTTGTTTAATATGAGCCCCACATAGGAATTATGGTGTATTTCAGGGCTGGAGAGAAACACTTGGGATTTGTATTGTGCCAGAGATAAATGACATGTTCTCTACCCACTCCCCACTTCCCAAAACACACTATACAAACAGTGCATTTTCTTAGTATAACGTATTTTTTTCTGAGAGAGAGTTAGTTCTGGATGTGTTCCTACTGACATCTTTTAGATACTACTGCTCATCAAGTGCATGACCTCATCTTCCGGGACCAGTGAACCCTCTTAGGCTCCTCTGGGTATTTTGAATTGGACCTCTGCATTTGCTGTAAACGTGGAGCACCTTGGAAACACACAGGTTGCTGAAACAGGCTGCCAGGGTTACAGCTCATGGGGTGTGGATTAAATATCTTACCTGGAACTACACTACAAGAGGAGGCAGCAAAGAGAATACTGTGGAGTTTGAGAGGTAAATCGTATACCAGAGTTTAATAAATACAAAGCCTTCCTGTGGAGCAAAAATGGTTCTGAAGAAAGATCAGACTCCCAGGCTATGGGCTTTAACCACAGAAGTAACATCTACAGGAGCGTGGCAAACCATGCGCTCAGATTTGAGCTGCAGCTCTCTAGCCTGAGCCTTGCTCACGAAGGGAGGACTCTGTACCTTGGGTTCCAATGGCCTAGTGCTCACACACAATGAAAAAAATTATAGTGTTGAATAGATACACGCTTCAAGTACACCACCAGCGAAGCAAAGGCCTTTCTGTCAAGACAGGTGAATTGAGTTCACTTGCTTTCTTACGTAACAGCTTAACCAATGTACCACCGGGAAGCATCTGCAGTGAAGTGATGATTTTTACCTGGTTGCCATCAACCTGGTAGCCGTGTTTGTTTGCCAAGGTCTTGGCCATGGAGATGGTCACTGAGAATCCAACGATGGCTATGGCAATGGCGTCCACGTACACGAGGTGGAAGAGGCTGGTGTCCGGGTTGGCTGGAGGGAGTAGCCTGAAAAGTCAAGCTGACTGTAACTCAAGTGTTGTGAGCACTGAGGAAAAAGCACAGGACCAGAGGGGAGCATTCGAGAAGGGCATTAGATGCAGATGCGGTGAACTCACCGGGCGCTCAGGATACAGAACTTGTTTGCTCTGGTTTGGCAAACACGAGGTCCCTCCTTGACCCACAGATGCGCTTTCCAGGCCCCAAATTGCAGGCCTGGCTGGTGACCCAGGTGTTTTATCAGCAGAGATCAGGTGTCATTTTATTGATAAAAGGAGAAACCTCATACCAAGAGCACTGCGATGGCAGGTGTAAGTAAGACACAGGCCAGGGAGAAGGGAGGGTCAGAGAGGTACTCAGATGCCACAAGACATCTGAACCAGTCTCGGGGAGGGGAGGGCGTCATACAAGGGCTGACTCTACCGAGAACTGCATCCCCCAAACGCTACTCATGCCTCTCCCTTGTTACTCGAGGGAAGGACTCTGAGTCCACTAACTCCTCCCGGGTCATCAGGCCCTCCAGTCAAGTTCTAACATGGAGAAGGAGCAGAAGCAGTCATACTCCCTGGGTCTCACTGGGAATTTTGGGACCTAGAGGCCTCCGAGAACCCCACAAAGGGGTACCCAGTTGTTGCCCATTCTTGTAGTTTGAGAACCCTCTGTCCTAAAGAAACATAATAAGGATTCCCTAGACTGTTACAGGGAAAGGGAAACAAGGATTGTCATAGGCATCCCTGATCCCACTCCATTTCAAGACAATGCACTGGACAGTACTGACAACCATTTAAGCGATACACACTAAGAATGCTTTCTACAAATGCGACCATTCATTAAATACTTCCTCTGTGCCAGATCCTCTGCTTTATAATTATTTCCAATAGCCCTATGAATGAGGGAGGTAGCATTATAATCCCAATTTTACAGAGGAGAAAATGAGGCACAGTTAGGTTAAACAACATGTCCAAGGTCAAACAAGTCATTTGGATGACTTCAACAGAGGCACAAGAAACCTGCCTCTGTACACTATTTCTCTGCACATCACAGTAGAGAGACAGAAGAGACATTTTATCAGATTCTGGGGGTAAGGAAAGGAAGGGAAAGAAGGGAAAGGAATGCAGTGTCTGTAACGCTAGATTATGTGCTACATGCAATGGTTTTATGAGGTAAATGCCATTTTTAACCCAATCTACAGGTGGAAATAGAGATCTTTTCAGTTGTTAAGTGACTTTCCCAAGATGGAGAGGAATGTCAAATGCATAGGGTCTGACTATAAAACCATCATCTCCTTCTGCACTTTGCTGTCTGTGTAAGCTTGGCCAAGAGAAAAAGCCCAGCAGCAGGCAGGGTCTGAGGAACAAGAAAAGGGCAGGTTCTGGAATGAGGTCAGGAAAGGAGACCCTCAAACCTGATATACAACCATGACCACGGTCAGTGTCAGCTGTCTCTTCCCAGGCCCTACAGCGAGCACGCGTGTGTATGCACCCATAAGAGTGCAAGTTCCCTTCAGACGGCCCAGCACTCTCATCCTCCCAGGAGCTTCTCCCAACCAGAACCCTGGCGTTTCCCTCCTGCTGGGTCCAGGCTGGCCTGAGCTTGACCAAGAGAATGAGGTGGCAGTGATGTCACACGGGGCTGCAGGAGGCCCAGCACATTCTCTGCTTTTCTTTCGCGCTGCCCTGAGCCGCCAGGTGAAGCAGTCAGGCTACCCTGCTGGAGACACCAGGTGCAGAGGAGATGCCAGCCCCACCCCCAGCTGCTCCAGCCAGGCCAGCCAAGGCACAGGCAAGAATCTGGAGCCCTTTTGGATCCCCCAGCCCGAGTGACACCTCCAAACTCCCACAGTTGCCTGAGAGGTCACCAGTGGGGCCAGCATCACCACCCCCAGTGCAACCTAAGCTGAAGAATTATGAGCAAGTGAGTGGTTGCAGTTGAAAGCCACTGTTTGGGGGCAGTTTGTTATATATGAGTAAGAGTCACAGAGACGAGAAACAGTATGATTGTATGTAGAGAAGCACAGAGGTATTTGTTACCTCCTTGGTTTTGGTCAAAGTTCCAGAAAGATAAGACTGTTTATTAGCCAAGTTTCAGAAAGGTGAAATGTTCTGGGTTTGTCTGTTTGTTTAGTTTACTTCTCACACAGAGAAGGAAAGCAATACTTAGGTACAACACAACAGGGAAAGGAAGACAATGAGTGGGAATTTGCTGAATTGAATTTTGGTGGGGGATTAAGTTGTGAATTTTAATGTATTAGCATATTTTTAAAAGGAGAAATCTACATGGAAGAATTTGCCACTTAATCAAATTATGTGTAACTAGTAACTGAATAGGATTATCTGTTGGATCCAATCAGAGACAACTGTTTACCACGTGAGTGAGTTAGAGACCCAGGCTGAGGTAATGGAAAAGAAGACACAACCCAGCATCAGAAGACCACGTTCTAGGTCCCGGCTCACCAGCACGTCACTGAAGCTCATTTTGGTCTCCCCAATATCACCTTCTCTGAGCCCTTTCCTAAATGCCCTTACCCCTTACAGTGAGGCAGGCCACCAGGGGACAAAGGGCAGGCGGGCTTCTGGGCCTGTGGCCATTAGGAGTAGTTTGTGTTCCTCTTCCCTACCCTCTCACTTTCAATTTTATCAACCTCCCAAAACCAGGTGCATCCTTAAAGCTTTGATGCGTTTGCCACAGCACCTCCAAGAATAAACTAGATGAGAGAATGAAATGTCCCGTAACATCACAGGAGGATAGAAGACAAGCCAACTCCCAGATCCTTAATCTGTTGCTCATTGAAAGCTCAACTGAGCTTTCTGCCACTCCCCACCCATGGCTTCTCTTAGCAGCCACCACACCCCATCATATCACAAAGCCAGGGCATCCATGCAGGACAGGAGCATGGACCGAGAGTATGTAATAGTTGTGGGACAAGCTGGCCACCCGTTCCCTGAGACCAAGGTGGTTTTTCTTTTGTACTGGGGATCGAACTCAGGACCTTGCACTTGCAAGGCATTGCACAGGTGTTTTCAATGAGCCCAGGACTAGTGAAATTTCTGCTTTCACCCCTGCATGTGCATGGAAATCTTGCCCTTTTGTAGTTAACAGGCCAGCCAGACTGTTCCTCTCAATCAGAGCCGTCCTCCTTCCAATGAAGCTCGATCCCATCTATCGTGCCCAGGGCAGGAGATCCCACGTGCAGTCTTAACAGAGCTTCTTACTGTGTTTGCTGACTTCAGTAAATGACAAGGTCCACGAGGAGGAGCACTTTTTTTTGCTTGTGCGTCTGTTTCCATTTTTAACTACTGTGTCACTGGTACATAACAAGCTTTCAATAAACACATGTTGAGTGAATGGTTCTAATGAACTTTGCTGCGAGAGAGGGGTATTACAAGTGCCAATTGTGATGGCAGGTTTGGAAGTCCCAATTGAAAAGCAAGGGGTTATGACTGTGTCACGGCTTTATGCTGAATCCTAAGTAACATGTTCATGACCCCCATTCTTTGCGACTGAGTTTAAAGCGAGTACAAGTTTCTGTTGGCAGAGGTGCAGCCTGAGAAGGCAGGATGCAGGGTGCTCCCCACCTCTGTCTCCCCCATCAGTACCCTGAACTCGCCCAAAGCTGTTTCTCAAATCTTAGAGTTGCTTTTTCAGAAATAACCTTCTACAAGCTAGCCTAATGAGCATGCACCAGTGACAGAAGCAACCCTACTGTCTTAGGAAGGCAAAATTTCCACGGGTGAAGGGAGGGCAGGGATAGGGGGAAAAAACAAGAACGAAGATATATCATGTAAAGGTACAAGATCCCAATGATAAATGTAACTGTACTGTTTGCTTTAACTGTACCAATAAACAACGGAAAAAAAATTTCCATGGAAATAAGCGGAGTCTGAAAGCCCAAGTCACCAGGTTGCACCTGCGAAGACTCAGCCCAGCCATGTATGGCCACGCCCCCGGAAATTCTTTTACTGCGAGATAGTACATCCGGGTCACTGCTTCAGAAGTTATTCTCCTGGTCTTCCTAAGTGCTGTGAATACGCCGTTCTTGGTGTTCTGTTCTGACTCGATTCCCCCACCAAATCTGGTGACACTACCCATTCCAGCACCTGTTCTCTGGTCTGAGTGCTGGCTTCGGGAGCAACCTCGGCTGCTCTGCTTGCCAGGGCTCCTGAATGGGGCTGGATGGCTTGGCCGAGGGAACTGGCACAGGGCAATGGTGAGAGAGATGGGAAACTACTGTGCAAGAGGCAGAAAGACAGAGAAGGACCTGGAGCTAGAGAGAGATTTCAAAGTGTGGAGAGGGACAGAGTGAAACCAGCAGAGGTGTGGTCACACTTGCTCCTCTGATACAGAGTTAATAAATAAATGCCAAACATGCAGATACAGGAAATACAGATGAAGCAATGTAAGCATATGATCTGAGACTAGAAAACTCACTTAAGGAGCCCCAGAACTTTGAATCCTCCATCTAGAATGTTTACTGTGTAAGAGGGTGGCTCCTACCCCTACCCCTACCCCTGCCTGCCCCACACTCTCTCACAGTGGCCCCGGATATCAGGATAGAAACAAGGCCACCAGCGGGGGAGGAAGCTGAAGCCTTGAGACATACGTGACCTGCTTAGCTCCGCAGCTAGGAAGTGGCAGGCTGGAATGTGTTCTTTTTGATCTCAATTCTTATCACTCAGAGATTTTAAAAATTGTTAAAGAAGACTAAAAACCAAGACAAAAATGCTCTACTGGTGGTGGGATTATAAAGTTGTGCACCTGCTATGGAAAAGAGTGTGTTGTCTCCTAAAACATCATAAATGGAACTACCATAGCATCCAGCAATCCCACTTTGGGGCGTACACTCAAAAGATCGAAAGCAGGGTCCTAGAGATATAGTTGCATGCCCATGTCCATAGCAGCATTATTCACAGTAGCCAAGAGGTGAATGTAGAAACAAAATACACCACATACATACAATAGGATACTACTCAACTGTAAAAAAGGAAGAAAACACTGTCATTTTCAACATGGGCAAAACTTTAGGATATTAAATGAAATAAGCCATCACAAAAAGACAAACACTATATGAGTCCACTGACAAGAGGTACTCAGAAGAGTCAAATTCATAGAAACAGGAAGATGAATGGTGGTTATAAGGGTTGAGGGATGGAGAAAAAGGGGATTGTTCGATAGGTGCAGAATTTCTGATTTGCAAGAGGAGGACATCCCGGAGATCTATTTTATAACACTTTGAATATATTTAACTCTGTTGAAATGTATGGTTAACAATGATTAAGATGATAAATTTTTTAAAAACCACAACAAATGCACGCACATGCCACAAACCCTTAAAACCCACAGCAACTTGATAGGTAGAAAAGGTTCTTTTTCATTGCAAGAGCACTAGAGCAGTAGTTAGAAACGATAGGTCCACCGATTGTTCAAGTCACTCTGTTACTTAAACTATTTTCCTACCCCAGAGGCAGTGTCCCAACAACATCCACATTGTAAGATTCTTGCAAATTAAATCCAGCTGAAATGCCAGTTCCCATTACCACCTAAAACAGACACAAACCCAAACACACCTTTAGAGATCAACACTCAAATGTCACATAAATAAGCTTCAAAGAATTTGTTAGGCAAGGCAAATCTATTCTCACTTTGTTGGTGGTGGTGGTGTGTGTGTGTGTGCATGTGTGTGTGTGCGCATGCTTGAGACATGGTCTCACTAGATAGCCCAGGCAAGCTTCCGATTCTCAATCCTCTTTCCTCAGCCTCCTGTGTTCTGGGATTACAGGCATGCATCACCACTCATGGTTTATTCACATTTTGAACGCTCAGACTGAAAAGAAAGCATTATGGTTAGCATCCAGCAATTCTAACATCTCTCTGTGACTCTGCCCCACATAACTGAAATGGGCTTTCCAGTTTCCTAAAGGCCTGGAATTATTTTGTTTTCCCTTGCTTCTGTTCCTCACTGAGGTTTTGGCACAGGGGTTGGCCTTTCATCCAGGTAGAAGGCATCGCTGGCCTCTTGACAAGTAAAGGACATGGAAATGAGTACAGCGAGGGTGGTGCAATGGCTTTGGAATCTGCCTGCTGACTCAGGTGCTTGTAGAACAGCACTGGAAGTGGGTTCAGTGGTCATCCCCCAGTCAGGGCCATGCAGTTGTCTTCTGTAGGGCAAGTGGGACCACGATCACCAAGAGTGACACTGTCCTTAGTACCCTCCTGGATTTTCAGGCCCAGATTTACCCAAGGTGTAAAGCGTAACCCTCAGTGTGCTACAAGAAGAGACGCACAAGGTGAGACGGCAGTCTGCTCCATCCCAGTAACTATGGCTTATGACGCTTTCTGAACAGGTGCTCCAGGAGAGAAGGACTTAGCGGGGACGAGGGAAAGGACCAGTCCCTTGCAGGGGGGCCTGGCAGGACAGTGATCATAAGGTAATCTTATTGTCAGAAACTGAAGGCCACAGACCAGGGTCAAGGGTGTTTCCAGTCCCTTTGGATAAATGGCCCCTTTCTGTTGGTGGCAATTACGTTTGTCACCCTCAACTACTTTTTTAATGCATCTCAGCTCTGGAGAGTGTCTAGAATATTTAAATTCACAACATAAATGTGGTTCATGTTTCTGGAGCATGAGTGTCATGTGGTCATAAGTAATGAGCACGCAGTCGAAGGAACGGGACAGGTCATCACAGGGTAGGACTTACCGCAAAGAACTCTAAAGGAATAGGTGCTGGCAATTTCTCTTTAAATCTCTCATTAAACTCCTTGCCACCCAACAGCAAACCAAAAACCATCAGCCCGACGCCTAGGGAACACACGTTGAGGTTTTTAACATTCTGCAACACAGCAACTGTACTCTGTAACACAGTGAACACTGGAGTTTACATCAAGAAACAGCCCCACATTGCACGACTCGACAACATGTGGTACCTAGAACAGCAGCTCAGAGGGACAGAGGTGCACAGAGCGCCAGGAGCTGGGCGGAGGAGGTGGACTAATGGGCGTGGAGCTCTTGTCTGTGATGAGGAAGAGGCTCTGGAAACGGCCAGGGGGCGTGGCTGTGCAACCCTGCAAATGTACTTATCACCACTGAATTGTACACTTAAAAAAAATACATTTTGTTATATATATTGTACCACAACATTGTTTTTAAAAAATCAAAAGAACTGATACTAAAAATTTGAGAGAGAGAGGACTGGAGCTGGGGCTGAGTGGGTCCAATGTGCTTACTACGTGCAAGGCCCTGGGTTCCATCACCAGAACCACACAAAAAAGGTTCTCAGGCTGAAATTTCGTTCTTTATTGTGTCCACCACACATTTTTACCGTGTCACACAGCTTTATAACAGCGATTCTTATTCACCAATCTTAGGGCGCTTTTCGATGTACTCATGTCTTGGTGTAGTGTTATAAAATTCAGAAAAAATAGCCCTGAGGCTGAGCTGTGACCATCAGGAAATAATTAAGGGTCAATGTCAGCAAAAAGACTCCAAAGGGAAACAGAAAAGTTTTTAGGGAGTCAAAGAGGAGATTATCATCAGCAGATGAAGGAGAAGTCAGGTGGGCTCTGAGGGCCAGAGCATAAGTTTGGAAAGGAGCCCACGGAGTGCATCAGGGAAAGCCCCTGGGTTATGTCCTAGAGTGGCAGGCAGTCCCCACTTGCAACCCAACAAAGCCCACAGCCCCCACACCCAGGCTGCAACCCTCTCCTGGGGCAGCCTAGAGAGCACTCAGGGACACGTGGGTGGTGAGAAGCCTCAGCATCAGAAGCCTCTCACCAGCAATTACAGTTATTTAGGGAACAGCCTTATGCCTTGATTCCATTCTAATCCATCAAGGACTCAAATTTAAGTGTCATTTTCTCAAAGTGACTTTCCTAGACTTTCTTTTTTCTAGGGTAGCCTGTGCCTTCTCTTCACAGCACTTAATGTAATTTACAATTAATTACATACTTGTGCAACTGATGATTCATTAATCATCCTCCCCGACTGCAAGCAGAGGGCTGGGTGGCCACTTCTTGGCTCACTGCTGCCCCCTAGTGCCTAGCACAGTGGTGGGCACAGAGCACCTGCAAGTGCTGTGACTGCATTTCCCAAGTCTTGATTGTGATACTTACTATTGGTGGGTCCTAAGTATTTCATAATTTCCTCTCCATCTATGAGTCATTTAGAAATGTGTCTCTGGATTCAGAACGTATGTGGGGCTTAAAAGGATTTTCATTGATTTCCATTTATACTACACTGAAAAAATATTGCATTTTAGAATCTGTGCTTGTTTTCATACTAGTCTCAACACGATAATTTATTACCATTGCTTTCTATGTGCTTGGAAATAAATTTTCTCTCAGTTGTGTAGAGTCTATGCATATTTTATCATATTAATCTGGGCTATGTGTGTTAATCTTTTATAGCCTCGCTTTTTTGCGGGGGGGGGGCAGCACTGGGAATTGAAGCCAGGGCCTATGAATTGAATTACTTGCCCAGACATTTTTAAAACTAAAAATTCTGAGACAGGGTCTAACTAAGTTGGCAAGTAGCCCAGGCTGAGCGTGACCTAGCAGCCCACCTGTTTCAATCTCCCAGAGTGCTGGGATTACAGGCAGGTACCACCATGCCTGGAGTCTTACTTATATTTTTCTTAAGATTAGGGTGGCCAGGTGTGGTGGCACATGCCTATAATCCTAGCACTTGGGAGGCTGAGTCAGGAGGATTGCTGTGAGTTCGAGACTAGCCTGGGCTACATAGTGAGTTTCAGGGCAGTCTCAACTACATAGTGAGCCTTGTTTCAAAAAAAAAAAAAAGATTAAATTATGGCTTTGTTTTGGACACAAACAAATAATTTAAAGATATAATGGAAGGGCATCTCTCTCTCTCTCTCTCTCTCTCTCAAAAATTACAAACTCAAGCAGGCAAAAGTACGGGACCTCACTGGGGGGATGGCACTGTCACCAAATAAAGACCTAACAAAAAATTCAGGACACAAACATAATTTAAAGATGTAATGGAAGGGCATCTCTCTCTCTCTCTCTCTCTCTCTCTCTCAAAAATTACAAACTCAAGCAGGCAAAACAAAAGTACGGGACCTCACTGGGGGGATGGCACTGTCACCAAATAAAGACCTAACAAAAAATTCTCGGTGAAGTAAGCAGAATCATGTATCTGTAAAATGGGATTTTAGGGCTTGGGCTTTCTTGTGGTCCTCTTCCCAGAAAGCCTTAGAGTAACTAAGTCTTGTTCTTTTTATAGGGTTTCTTGGAAAAACAGAAGAGTGAGACACAGAAAGGAAAAAGAATAACGAGGCGCAGTCCCAGCGAGCCAGGAGTTGCTTACTTACGTACACCACCGAAAAGATCCCAGTGTACCGCTTCGTCTTAACCCCGAAGAGGTACTTGAGCATGGAGGTGAAGACATGCACAGCGGCGGCGGTGGTGAACCCGCGCACCAGGGGCTCTGTGAGGTAGATGGCCACAAATCCGAACCTACACACACCTAGGCAGAACTGTTTTTTAATGGCAAAGAAACAAACAAACCATGTGAGAGGTCAGGAAGTTCTAATCAACAGAAAACATATAAAAATTATTTCTGGGCCATCTTCTAACACTACAAATTCGGGCGTGCAGGGGCTCGGTAGCTAGGAAAGCAGTCACTGGCTATGGAGAAAACAGTGGCAGTCTGGAGGGGCCGCAGAGCATGGGCCACACTCGTGCCTTGTGTCCCACAGAGCAAGGGTCACGAGTGGTCCTGCACACCATGGCACCTGACCACGGGCCATTCCGGCCAAGCAGATAAGGGACGTCCTCTTCTGGTCCGAACCAATGCTGCTCTGTCAGATTTGCTTTTGGGATCTCCAAGTGCCCAACCAAAGCTCGCTAGTCTCTCCTCGCTGTGACTAAGGCATGCAGTCAGAACCCCAGTTCTGGAACGTGGCAGGCAGGCTGTCCCCCATGTGGTAAGATCAGCCAGGAGTGTTCCATAGATGTCTCGGAGGCGAACAGACCAGCCCTGCATCCCCACCTTTGGTCTTACCTGAATGATTCCCGAAAGTAAGGTCACAGACATGGCGACTTTCACTCTCAAGGCGTCCCTGGCTTCTGTGCCATTGGTTGCATTTACTCCTCCCGGGATGACGATGTCATCGGGTACTAATCGAACAGCCACGCCACCAATCATCAAGCTAATAACGGCAAAAGGCCCTGAAATGGTGAAGCAGGAGCTTATGGAAACTACCCAGTGTAGCTACGAGATGGGCGTGACTGACCCTCGAAACATCTCCAGGGTATCTGATGTGGTCACTGTACTGTGCCAAGAGACACAAGGGAGGCCACTCAGTTACCCTTCCGAGAAGACCACACTGCCCTCCTTCAGTGTCCTGCCCCTGGCCACCCACCCACTGCTGTTCTGGACTCTCAGCATTTCCTCATCAAGAGGGAGAGTCCTGGTCCAGGGATTTGGCTCAGTGGTGCCACCACCTGCCTCACAAGCACAGGGCCCAAGTTCAATCCCTGGCACCAAAAAAAAAAAAAAAAAAAAAAAAAAGAGAGTCCAGTGCCTCTCTCCTTGAATCTGGGTGGGCTTGTGATATGCTAGTAAACAAAAGAACACAGCAGAAGCGGCACTGTGACTTCCAAGGTGAGGTAGGAAACGGCAATGCATGGCTACCTGAGAGCTGTAAACTACACGCTGTAACCTGGGCCACCATGTTTGAGAAAGCTCCAACGGGGTTACAGGGAGAATTCCTGGGACTCCATCGAAGGGGAAAGGGAAAGTGAGAGACTGTCCAGAGCAGCCCTTCCCAAATTCCGTCCCACAGCAACGGAGAGACATTAAAATGATGACTTTTTCATATTTTCTATATTTTTAATTAAAATTTTTAACTGATCCATGATATAAGCTGCTAAATCGAGGGCCATATATCTACCTAAAACACTGTGTTTTCAGGCAGTAGCTTATGAAACACGGTTATGAAATTCATATGCATCTCATCTGAAATAGCTAAAGAGAAAATATGTGCAGTTCAGAGACTAAGATATGATGAAAATTATATATGTGCATAATAATAGGAACTCAAAGAAGAGTAATTTTATTAGGAAATAAAGCATTTGTCTCATTTCACAGATTTTAATAATTGCAATTTTACACAAGAAAATTGTCCTTTCTCTTATTATTTCAAGAGAATAAGAAAGCTATTCACTCTAGAAGTCGTGTATTGTTTAAAGGCCTTTTTTTTTTTTTTTTTTTTAATTTTAAAGACAGAATCTTTCTGTGTAGACCAGACTGGCCTTGAACCTGTGGTGATCTTCCTGACTCAACATCCTGAATGCTAGGATTACACGTTATGTACAGGCATGCTTAGCTAAAGCACCTACTGTGTGTGCAGTAACAAAAGTTATTAGGCAGATGTTCTAAACAGCAACCACACTATTTGTTTGGCACACTGCGAAGCCTGGGGCTCCAACAGAAAGGTACTCGGACATCAAGTTCAAGAACGAGCTTTTACCTATGGATATGTGCCTGGAGGTTCCAAGGAAACAGTACATGATGACAGGGTAAAACGAAGAGTAGAGGCCGAACACCGGAGGCACCGCTGCCAGCATCGCGAAGGCCAGGCCTGTGGGATTAAAGCAGAGAGGACAGCATTAGAAGACAGGGGCAGGTGCACTGCTCGGGTGCTTCCTCTGCGGGACAGGTGAAGCCCACCTTCCTGTGCCAGGTGCGTCTGCCCCGCCCACCCTTCCACCCCAACCCCACATGGAGTCTTGTGCCTGCAGCATTCGGGTTGGCGTGGTTTTCCCTGTTCGTCTCCCTTTTGCCAGTACATGGGCTTGTTCGTGCTTTAGTTTTAAAACATTGGACAAGGGTAGAAAAAGTCTTCCTCAATCAGGGCAGTTGTAGTCTGGTGTCGATGCACAAATGCTCCTGCTGTGGTGGTGTGCTGTGTGGGTTCCTGGAGACCCCTCTGCTCTGTGGAGCCCCCACTGTCCACCCCTGGTCCATGTGACGCCTGCCCCCAACTCTCAGACCCCGCCACCGGCCCTGTATCAGAAGGTGCTGTCCCAGGGTCTTTTCCGCAGCCGCCTCTCACACGAGCCGTCCCGGGTACCTTCTGGGGTGCCGTTTTCCAAGGGGAAAGCGTGGCATTTCACCCCAGGAAAAAGCACAGGTCACATCCTCTGGGGACTCTCTGTTCTGCTGTCCCTGGCAGCTCACACCAGGCTTTACCAGTGGACTCTTAGGAGACTTTATTTTTTAGAGCGATTCTGGGCTCACAGCAAACTGAGTCGAAGGTGCGGGGATTTTCTTCATCTGCATCCACCCAACCCCGGCCAGAGTGGTAAATTTGTTACAGTGATGAGCCTACAGCCACAGTTCACATCAAGGTTTACTCTTCATGATACACCTTCTCTGCAAATTCGTGATGACTCCATCCTCCCCGACAGTACACACAGAATAGTTCACAGGCTAACAGTGCCTCTGTTGTCTACCTCCTCCCTCCCTCCTCACAGATCCCTAGCAACCACTGACCTTTTCTCTTTCCATAGCATTGCCTTTTCCAGGATGTCACGTGATTGGGACCCAGGCACTTACGCTGCCTCTATGTCTCTGCACGGCAGGAGGACACGTTTCTCTGTGGTGGTGAATTAATATGCCACCATCTGGATGGACCACAGTTAATTTACCTACTGAAAGACATCTCGACTGCTTCCAAGGCTCAATGACTATCAATAAAGAGGCTAGAAACAGTCATGTGCAGGTTTAATCCAAGGTTTTTGTTTGTTTGGTTGGGTTTTTTTGAAACAGGGTCTCACTATGTAGCTGAGACTGACCTGCCCAGGTTGGTCTCGAACTCACAGCGATCCTCCTGCCTCAGCCTCCTGAGTGCTGGGATTATAGTGTGTGCCACCATGCCCAGCCTAATCCAGGGTTTTTAAAAAGAGGCCATTTTTTTCTGAGCAGTGGGAATTCTTTTCGTTAAGAATGAGGCAGCAGTCTCCACTAACTCCAGGGGACACTGCAGGCACTCGGAGTGGCTCATTGCGAAGGAGCGCACGTACAGAAGGCAGAAGGCAAGCAGCACTCCAAGCTCTACTCGGCGAGCCAGCCCTCCGCTGCCCCTCTGCTGTCCCCTCCAGGTCCCACCCTGACCAACCCAGCAGTGTCACTTTCAACCGGGAACCAGTCCTGCTGTTTATCTCCATCTTTAAAATTCAGCCGTCCTAAACAGAGCAGTTTGTCACCCCTCCCGAACATGGCAAACTCGGACATTTTTACAGTGGAAGTGCTGCTGCCATTGAGGGGTTAGAGGCCACGCTGCTGCTGAATATCGTATAATTCACAGGACAGATGCCACAAGAAGCAGTGTAAATGGTGTGGTGTGCGAAATTTTGTTTTAAATATTCCTGTTACTACACTGCATAAACAGAAGCCAGAACAAAAAAACTCACAACACGATCATTTCCATAGATGCAGAAAAAGGCTTTGACGAACACCACTATTCACTCGTGATAAAAATACTGAAGAAAATTGGTACGGAAGGACTTTATCTCAACCTGATAAAAGCTGCTTATGACAAACCTACTGCTAATATCATATCGAATGAGGGAAAAGCTGAAAGCTTCCCCTCTCAAATCAGGAACAAGGCAAGGACATCCACTGTCACCACTGCTGTTCAACACAGTACCTGAAACACTAGCAAGAGCAATTAGGCAAGAGAAGGGAATAAAAGAGATGTGCATAGGAAAGGAAGAAATAAGATTATTATTACTTGTAGATGACATGATCTCTACATCAAAGATCTCCAAAAATCCACCATCCCAGACTCCCAGCATAAAATTCAGCATTGTAGTAGGATACAAAATCAACACACAAAAATCAGTAACACACCAATAACAAACTCACTGAAAAACACATTAGAAAAAAATGCCATTTACCTAGAAAAATTAAATACTTAGAAATTAACCTAACCAAGGAAGTGAAAGGCTGGTACAGTACTTTGAAACAGGATATCAAAGAGGACATCAGAAAATGCACAGATATCCCCTGTGCCCTAAGGCAGAACAATATTGTTACAAGAGCCAAACTTCCAAAATAGATGTACAGACTTAATTCAATCCCAAACAAAATACCAACAGCATTCTTTGCAGAACTGGAGAAAACAATCTTAAAATTTATATGAAACTAGAGAGACTCAGAATAGCAAAAGCAATCCTGGGTAACAAAAGTAATAAAGCAGGAGACATTACAACCCTATATCTGAAGTTAAATTACAAAACTACAGTGATAAAAACAGCATGATATTGGCAAAAACAGACACAAAAGTCAGTGGAAAAGAGTAGTGCATGTGGAAACAACCTCAAGCACATTCAACTATTTGATCTTTGACAATGGGACCAAAAAACATACACTGGAGGAAAGATAGCCTCTTCAATAAATGGTACTGGGAAAACTGGCTATCCACACGCAGAAAATTGAATCTAGACCCATAGCTCTTGCCATCTACTAAAGATGGATCAAAGATTTAAATATTAAAACAAAAACAATATGTTGGAAGATAAGATGGTAAAACTCTTGAAATCATAGGCATAGGCAAGGACTTTCTCAACAGAACTCCTGGTTGCACAGGAAATAGTACCAAGAAATAGCAAGTGGGATTATATAAAATTAAAAAGCTTCTACACAGCAAAAGAAACAGCTAACAGAGTGAAGGGACAACCTACAGAACAGGAAACAATCTTGCCAGATATTCCTCAGAGGACTAATATCTAGAACATGCAAAGAATTCAATCCAGGCATGGGGGCACACACCTATGATCCCAGCACTTGGGAGGATCGAGGCAGGACTGCTTTAAGTTCAAGACCAGCCTGGCTACACAGTGAGTGCAAGGCCAGCCTGAACTATATAGTATGACCCTGTCTCAAAAAACCAAACACCACCACCACCACCACCACACAACACAAATCAAAAATACAACTAAAAAAATTAGCCCCCCCCCAAGACTCAACCAAAAATGGGCAAGTGAATTAGCCTGGCATGGTGGTGCATGCCCGTAATCTCAGCACTCAGGAGGCTGAGGCAGGAGGATCGCTGTGAGTTCTAGACAGTCTGGGCTACATAGTGAGCTCCAGGTCAGTCTCAACTACATAGTGAGACCCTGTCTCAAACAAACGAACAACAAACAAAAAAACTGGTAAGTTAAATGAACAGAAATTTCTCAGAAGTAGCACAAATGGCCAATAAATACATGAAGCAGTGTTCAGCAACACTGGGCATTAGAGAAATGCAAATCAAAACACCGAGATTCCACCTTATTCCAAAAAAGAACCACTATCATCAAGAAATCAAATAATAACAAATGCTGGCAAGGCTTCGGGGAAAAGCACAGTTTTTACTTCATCCCCGTGGCATCTCTCAGCATTTCCACCCCGCCAGCCCCACCAGGGTGCGAGGCAGGCACCCTGTGACATTCGTAGCACACTTCGAGACACTCAGCCAATGCCCTCGCTCTGCCCTCTCTGGCTCCCAGAGGTGACAGTGTCTGGAGCCTCTGAGTCCCCCGGGTGCTGGACAGCAGATTCACACATTTCAGGTCCTCCACTCTGGGGGGCTCGCTTGTCCACCTGCTTGGTCTCCATGGTGTCTCTTCTCCCATTCTCTTCGTCCTTGTCAGTTTCTAACATTTTCCTCCCTTTAGTGATATTTTAGGGAAATTCAAACTTGATTAGAGACAAAACCACATGTTCAATCCGACATTCTTTTTTTTTTTCTTCAATCAGGCATTAAGAAAAATATTTTCAGAAATTAAAATTATTCATCAATCCTAATAAATTTACTCTCCACATCTCTGCTATATATTTTCACATTTATCTATATTATTTGATTAAAGATGGGGAGAATAATGCCTTTTTGATACAAAACTTTTTATTTTTGGTACTGTAGTTTGAACTCAGGACCTTGTGTTTGAGAGGCAGGCAACAGCACCACTGGGCTAAATCTCCGGCCGATACAAACTTTTGGGATAATCTATTCCCTTTACAGTCTCTGACCCACTGGATCACTCCATGTTTTAAAATACTTTCTTCCTTGCTGTAATACCATTCACCCCTGCTTTTCCATCCTCTTTCCAAATACTTCTTATTGGTCTCTTCTGCTGGTTCCGCCTTCTCCATTTGGCTGTTAATGTCAGACAGAACTTGGTCTTGGGTCCTTTCTCTTTTCCCCTGACATTCTCTTCTCAGCTGTCCTTATCTGCCATCATGTTTAAATGCTATGGATGCGTCAGAGATTCCCAAATTGCTGTCTCTAGGCCACACCTGTCTCTTGGCCCAGCATATATCAAAGATTAACATGAAATACCTAGTCGTCTGTATCTCACAAGCATCTTAATTCTCACATGTTTCCCGCCATCTTTATTATGTAGGCACTGGCACCTCTGTCCCTGGGGATGCCAGGAAGTCATTCGCGCCCATCCCTCTTCCACCGCACGCCAGAATCCAGCTCTACAGCCTGCATCTTCAGAGTGACCCTAGAAACACCTTTTTCCTTCATCCCACCTACATTAGGCCAACCAGGCTCCTCGCTTACTGCAAACTAGATTCTATATCTTTCCAGTTTTATAACCACCACCCTAGTTTAGAGTAAAAGAAAGCCAGAGGGTGAAGAGTTAGTTCCTGGGATGGGCAACAACTAGAGGCCGAATTCTGAGGACTTCTTCGAGTGTAAGCTGATGTGATTCCCTGCAGGGCTGTGCGTCCCTCTTGGCTGTAGGTCACTTTGGCTCCTGTTTCCCACTGCAGATTCGCACCCTTATCTGCTCCGTACCCTGTCTTTGCCTCTGCTCTGAGTCTGCCACTTTTTGTCTGATTGTTTTTGGGGTGATGGTGGCAGAATGGTTGTGAAAATTATCCTAAACCTGATTCAGACTCTGTTTCACCGATTTACTAGATTTGGCTAATCTGTCACTTGGAAAATTAAAATCTGAGCTAACTGATCATGAGGGGAAATCTTTTTCTAACAAATTAAATTTTGGGAATGGCTAGAAGGAAATAGTTTTGGCTAACCGACCCAGAGCTGCTTAAGACATTACCAGCGTCGCCTACCCTGGACCCCTGTCGGACCAGACTGCCTGGTCTCCCCACATCCACTTTGGGGCGCCTTCCATCAGCCAAGTCCACTCCGCACGCAGTGACCTCCTACCAAGAAAACCCACACAATGGACACCTCGACAGCTTTCACGGCACTGAGTGAAATCCGGAAGCGGCTGGAGAAGCCTCCACAGACCTCCCCTACCCATCTCACCATCCGCCACCCAGCTTCCTACCTCCTCCTGCCAACACATCAACCCCACTCAGCCCTCTACTCAGCGCCTTCCCACATGCCGTGCCTTCTGCCTACAATGTGGTTCAAGTCTCACGTCTTCAAAGAATGTTCGGTGGCTTCTCCACCTAAATGAAGCCCCCAGTTACTATTTCACAGCGTCTGGCTTCTTTCTTCAAGTGTCTATAATCACAAACTTATATATGTCTTCATTTGCTTCATACCACTCCCCGATCGGGTGGTTAGCTCCCAGGAAGACCAGATAGCTGCTTAACCTATACACATTGTTCGTAAGAACAAACGAATACTTCCTTAAGTTTACATCGCACGTAAAACCACAAATCTGCAAAGGAATGTAGTATTCCACCGTCATTCGTAATTATAACCTGGATCAACACTAAAGCCAAGGACTGTGATGAAAACCATAACAAAATGTTGATTGAGCAACTGACTCGGCAAGATGTAAGATACCGTAATGCCAAGGCAGTGCACTCATCTGTGACATGGCACCACTGTTTCCTACAGTCAGTACGCCTGGAGAGTTTTACGGGTGAGGTTTCTGAACTCCATGATATGATAAACTCTATTGACTGTAGGCATGATAAAAAGGTCGAGCAAATGTCTGAGGAGAGGGTAGTTAGGAAAAGAAAGAAAGAAGGGAAGGAAGGAAAGGAAGAAAGGAGAGAAGGCAGGAAGGAAGCCAGCCAGCTGTATCCTTACTAACCTTGAGGAAGCTGAAGCACCCCAGTGCTTATTCCTGAAACCAAGTCACCCAGCACATACTCCTTGAATTTATATGCTGGCAACCACTTTGTTATGGGCAGGAACATATAGATAATGTTTCTTATTTTTTTAGGAGTACATCTGGCAAGACAAAGAAAGAGACAGAGTTATAAATGAGGAACATCTCTGTAGAATTCACAAGGCACCCTCCCTTCCCCAGATCCACCCGTGAGAAGGAAAACTTCATGAATGGTGACTCAAGATGCGGCCAGGGAGGTGGGAGTCCGAGACGGGCAGGGGCAGAGAGGCTGGAACCTTCTCGGGAGCCAGAGGGAAGAAGCGGATGTTTCAGAGGTGGGTGCAGAATTAGACAGTGGGTTGTCTATGTAAATCTTTACACAGACATAAGGCACAGTAGGAATCCAATAAACACAGTCAATTGCATAATGAAGCCTGTGTCCAAACGACAAACCCTGAATTGCTCAGTTGGCTTTGCAAACCAAAGCATCACCGTACATCTTTCCTCCACTTCACCAACTTTTCTTTACACCTTTGATCTTGCTTCGCTTATACCAGAATGATACAATAAAGGAAAAAGATTAAAATTCAACATACGTGAATGCCTGTTTCAGCTTATCCCCAATGGAATCCGAAACTTTGTCTTTCTCGTGTAGTCTTTCCTGGAGGACTGGATGGCTAAAAATAGGCCTTTCCACATAGTACCTCTGAGTTGCTGCAAGGATTTCATTTTCTTCAGCATGATCCATAGTACTCCAAAATTATTCATCAACAGCAGGAGACAAGCATTTCCTGAGTGTCACTAAGGGAGAAAATTAAAATTCCATTTTAGATGCCCGAATCCTACCACAACTGTTCCTAAGCCTTCCTTCCTGGCAGTACCCCAGTTCTAATTACTTCCTGGACACCCGAGAGTGCCTCTTATTGATCTGCTCATAGTAGGAACAAAACAAATAGAACGAAATCAAAACCAATAGAAAACATTTATGTGACTTATTCCCTCTCAGAGCAGTAAGTGGATAATGTGCACACTTTCAACAAGAGCACATATTAAGTCCAGTGGCTAAATAATGCAGGCAGTTGCCTTTAGCTCTATGAAAGGAGAACTGCAAGCCAGGCCCGGTCTGAGAAGCTGTATATCAATGAAGCAGAGAGAAGATGAAACTGTTCCTTAAGTTGACCTCAAGTTTTTTGAAGGATATTACTCTCCTTACCAATTTTGTTTATGTTTGATTACTTCCTTACACTATTATGTGTGCCAAGCTGAGCCTCATATCCCCATGAAGTCCCTAGAGACTTTTGCAAAAGGTTACAAGTTCAACACATCTGCAATATTATAGTATTGTTTTAAAATTAATTATGTTGTCAAACATTAAACTATTAACATGGTTATATTTTCTTCCTTGCTTCCTAGGGAATACCAGTTATAGGAAAAGATATTACTAAGGAATAAACTCAATCATATTTGTGCATAGGGAGATGTGTATGAGAATATTCACAGTAGCTTTGTGATAGTAAACAATTGAAAAAACCAAATGTCTACCTGTACACAATAAAAACTACATTTTGGTGTACTCATAGATTGAACATTATGCAGTATTTAAAAGAAACAAATCTAAATGTATCATCAATAAATCTCAAAAACCTAATTTTCAATAAAAATGTAAAGCATAGAGCATACAATTATTTAAACAAATAAAAAGCTTTCAAGGTAATAGCTTATACATAGTAAAAGCACCAAAGCATTCGTGCCAATGGCAAACACTATGGTCAGGATGGGGTTACCTGGGAAGAAAAGGCAAAGGAAATTAGGAAATGATAGTCAGAGAGCCAGAACTAACTATGTCTGCCATGTTTTGATTGCAAAAAAAGAACAGGCATAAATACAGCAAAATATTAAGACTTGATCAAGCTGTGTGGCAAGAAAATCGGTATTACATGATTCCTTGCACTTGACACATGTGAACTATTTACCTCATAATAAAAAGGTAAGTGCACAACTGATCCCAGCTCGCCAACCACAAGGAGTCGGGTTTAACGTGGATGTGTTGTTGAGTGTTTGAATGGTGGCTACAGGATTGTGGGTTACTAGTCTTGGGTCAGCTCAACTCTGTCATGGCAAAAAGTCAGGTTTTGCACCAAGTTGAAATCACAGCCCACCTAACTCAGCGTCTGTGCAAAATAAAAACCTGTATCCAAGGAGGTTAAAAATTCAAGAGCCTAGAGTTAAACGAAATGCTAGTGGCTAGGGAAACAAGTTCCGACAACAAAGCTATGGAGCTCCAATGGCTTGAATGCTGTCACCTCTAAATCCTGTTACAGCTGAGTTGTCTGTGTGACAGCAGGCAGATGTGTAGCCTCAGGGGTGACTGGGTCCTAAGGACGCTGCCCTGGCAAGTGGGGTTCGGTGTCCCTCTTGATGGCCCCTTTTGTCCTTCTGTCTCCTCTTCCAGATGAGAACACACCTATTCCTCTTGCCAGTGGGTGCAGTGACAAGGCGCCATCTTGGAGGTGGGGACTGGGCCCCACCTGCTGTCACCTTGGCCTTGGATCCCAGTGGCAGTGCTGTGAGAAATGGATTTCTACTGTCCATACCTGGGCCAGGCAGTGGTGTTTCATTACAGCAGCATGAACGCCCCGAGACAGGCATGCTAAGTGTGAAGTGTCCCTCTTGATGGCCCCTTTTGTCCTTCTGTCTCCTCTTCCAGATGAGAACACACTATTCCTCTTGCCAGTGGGTGCAGTGACAAGGCGCCATCTTGGAGGTGGGGACTGGGCCCCACCTGCTGTCACCTTGGCCTTGGATCCCAGTGGCAGTGCTGTGAGAAATGGATTTCTACTGTCCATACCTGGGCCAGGCAGTGGTGTTTCATTACAGCAGCATGAACGCCCCGAGACAGGCATGCTAAGTGTGCACAGGGAGGACTTTGCAACAGAATCTATCTGACAAAGACTGTGTGTCTTCCGCTTTGGATGAGCAACTCTGGTTGCCACCCCTCATGTGGCTTTTTACGGCCTCTCTAGGAGCCATTATACTGCACTGAAAAGTAGCAGAGAAAGCAGCTTAAAACATCAGACACCCTTATCTTTACTGTCAGCAGCACTGTCAGGATGTCCTCATTAACACACGTTCATCTGAAGGCCTCTGGGCACCCGCTCACTCTCCTGGACGCTCCAAATTCCTTCTATTTCACTCACTAGAGCAATTATCTGCATGTTTTAAAAGTTCCCCGGACATTCAGATGATCAGGTATTTAAAATACTGACTTCTGACCCTGGCTAAAGCTGGAATCCGCTCAGACACTTTTGAAAAAGCACGAAAGCCTGGGGCCACCCTGAGCAGTTAGAGCACAGTGTGCAGGAGTAGGGCCCTGCCACTGCCTTCTAAAGCATCCTCAGGCGCGTCTAAGAGCAGTTCAAGGTGAGGACCCCTGGCTTACAACCTCATGGAGAAAGAGACATGAAAACAATAAGAAAATCACAAACATTTGTTTCATTTTTAGTAGTCTAATTTTAATATTCCACACGTGTGTATACAATAGAATGCATGTAAAACGTACAAATTAATAATATTAATGATGATGATAATACAAATACTTGTGTAATCAACGTTCGCCCTGTACAGAGCACAGGAAGTCTGCCCACCTTTGTGTCCCAGCCCCTTTGTTCCACCCCTCCTGAGGCGACTCTATCCTGAATTGATTATCAGTTTCTTAAGTTTTCTCATATATTTATAACTTATACAAAATCTTATATAAAAAACTGTATGTAAACCTGGGTGTGGTGGCCCACACCTGTAACCCCAGCATTCAGGAGGCTGAGGCAGGAGGACTGCCATGAGTTCAAGGGCAGCCTGGGCTACACAGTGAGACCCTGTCTCAAAACAAAAACAAAAACAACCCCCCACCCCACAAAAAAAACCCATATGTAAAAGCGTTTCTGTTGCTTCCCAAGTCCTAGACTTCACAATTTTGCCATCTGGTGAGTGGAAAAACAGCATTTTGTTGTAATTTTAATGTGTATTGTAATGCACAATTTACCTTTTACTTTTCATTGTCACAATTAGGAATGAGTCTAAGCATTGCTTACTATGTATATATCATTTGGGTTTGTTTTTTTAAGCAAAAAACCAGTACCTGTCTTTATCCATTTTGCAATAGGACTGTTTTCTTTTTCTTGATTTGTATCAATTATTTATATATTACAAAGAAACATTTAAAAACAAAAGCAAATGATAGGCTTTTAGGTAATTAATACTGGAACAGTGACATAACTAAACCCAGAAGAGATGATTTTTAAAGTAGACTTAATAGAAGGCTCACTGTAACAAAACACACAGCATGATAGATGTAACACAGTCTAAGACAACGCGCTTTCGGAAAAGTATGTGGCACCAGCTTGGAAGAGGAATTTCAAGCGTCAGGATGTGTTTTCACGCTGAAAGTGCTTCTCCAAGTTTGTCATCTTCACTGGGGACATCAGTTCTCAGTCTGGCTGCACTGGAGCTGCCTGGCCAGGTCTGAACACCAGGGGTGCCTGACTCTCCAGCCAGGGATCCTGATTTAATTGGCCTGGGAAGCCGGCAGGGACCAAGAGTTTAAAAGCTCTCAGGTGATTCCACAGTGCAGCCAAGGTTCAAGGACTTACTTAGCAGATGGCAAAACAAATACTGCAGCTCCACACTCCCTTGTCTATAGAGCCAGGCAAAAGGAGGAAGAGCCAGAACTCGGTAAGTACACGGTGTGCAGTGCGCTGTAACACTGTCTTTACTTCTGCGTGTCTTTGAAATACTGAACGACAAATTACAAAAGATAAATCTTTAGCCCAGCTTTCTCAAGCAGAGCCTTGCTCCGATGCTTATGTTCTCACTAAAGGGAGTCCTGTGCGTCTCAGGCAAACCTAGCTTCACTGTCACAGACATCTCACGGGGGGGTCTAGATCAAGAGCAAATCTCCCAGAAATTTATATCTCAAAACATGAATGGCCTTGGGGAAGGATTAGGTTAGATTCTCTGCAGGGTTGTCAGGGAAAATATGTGCAGCCCAGGCAAGCACTTCAAACGCATTTGAAAAAACAACAGAAGTATGTCCCAAATATCGCATGGGACATACTTGCATTAAATTTTTTTTCTTTGCCCCATCTTTAACTGGATATCTTGTATTTCTCTTGTTAACTCTGGACACCACAGTGCTCTTATTTTTGAGGGTTTAGGATCCTGCATAAAATCTACCCCACCCCCCCAGAGATCTGCTTGGTAGCTCAGGGATGGTCCAACTAGGAAAGGAAGGAGAAGATGCTGTGGTGAAACATCCTGTTTTCACAGAATGAAATGTCCTTTGGGGCACTTATTATGCTCAGCAACAATGATTAAATAATGGAATCCTTGAAGAGTATCCATAACCAACTTATCAGAATCGGAGACAAAGAAGCCAAGGGACCATCATTAGGAGATCAAGTGACCAAACTCACATGGCAAACAGTGAGCGTACACAGCGCTGCCTGAACTGGGAATCACTAAGTTGTAAAACTACACAAAACCTTCCATACATGAGAAAAGTCACTTCTAAGGTGGCCGAAAGGGACAACCCTTCTGCCACATTCTCAAACTTGTCTGACATGTCAAGTCCTATTTTCCACAGCATGAAAGAAGGGATTTCAAAACTGTTGTAACATCTTTTGTGATAGATTTCTAGATTTGAAGGTAACCTGGAGATCACCCAACTTAACCCCATCACTCTGCAGGTGAGAAAATACTTATTTGTATGCACTAAGGGTAACGGACTTATTTCAAAGGCAAAGACA